TAATCCTGGAGGGAAGCAATCTAGAACTAAGGAGAAATTTCCTGACAGTTAGAACAATTAATCAGTGGAACAGCTTGCCTGTTGTGAATGCCCCAACACTGGAAGTCTTTAAAAAGATGTTGGATAGCCATTTGTCTGAAACGGTATAGGGTTTCCTGCCTAGGCAGGGGGTTGGACTAGAAGACCTCCAAGGTCCCTTCCAACTCTGCTATTGCATTATTTGTATTGTATTAAGGTGACTCTGCCTACCCTACCATAACACTCACCAAATGGTCATTGAGAGATCACCTGACAATGTTGAAGTAAAGACTGAATGTAGAAGGAGCCCATAAAATATTTTTTGAGTTCTTTCTATGAAATATAAAGCACATATGCATTGAAATGTCAGTTTATCTCAAATTGTTTACCTGCATCATGAATGCCGCACATACCAGCAGCAACTGACCGCCAAATGTACATCTAATAGCAAATGTCATCACAACAGTGTTATTTGTGGAAATGGGCCCCAGGCACACCCAGCGATTACCCCTTATTTCCAAGCAAATGTTAAAATTAGGCGGCTATCAATGTGTACTTGGTCCTGTGGTCAGCCTCACTAGTACACTGAGAGGAAACCAGACTGCAGCCTTTATCTCACTGAGATCAGGACAGGAAATAACACACTTCTGGGCGCCCCATTTTCCACTGAGGTGAGCAGCATTTGAACGAAAAGCAAATCAACTTAAGCATTTGACAAAATTGTGGAAAATATGTTTTCATATCCTTTTTGAAACTGTGTGAAAAAGAAACCCCTAACATGTAATAAAAAATGTAGTGTCCCTTTAGTTTAATGTATGTATGTGTGTATGCATGTATGTATGCATGTATGTATGTATATAAATCCACAAGGGTGAGTAGAACATCAGAGCTATACAGCTCTGTTTGCTGGCAGAAGATCTGGGATTGCATTTTAGTTGCTAATACGGTAGGAAAATCACTTCAGTCTTTTTCAATAAGATGCCTGGCTTAGCAAGAGCAAAAAATGATCAGGATTTTCATTTCCAGAAGCAGCAAGCAAAGCCAAAAAGTTTTTCTGTTTTGGAATTCACTCTTACTCAATTTTCCAATTTTTAAAGTGTTTTTCCCAAATGGCTCTGTTAAGGACAATGGCAATCAAAAATGCATGTTAGTGAGAAATAGAAATATGTGGCTTTCTTTATCCCTCACCAAACCCAAAAACTCTTCTCTTGCTCATTGAGCAAGTCAACCTTTGGATCATTTCAACACCAAATATGTTCACTGTGGACTTTATTTCTCCTAGATTGCTGAAGGGATGGCGTACCTTGAGAGAATGAACTTCATCCACAGAGATCTCAGGGCAGCCAACATTCTGGTTTCAGAGTCCCTTTGTTGCAAAGTTGCTGATTTTGGCCTTGCTAGACTCGTCGAGAATGAATACCTTGCAAAGGAAGGTTAGTGAAACTTTATGGTAAAAGAGATAGAATTGCGGGTCATATTCCACCGAACAAGAAAATTCTGGAGGTAAAAGATGTGCTTTTTTTGTGCACAAGTATTATTGCATGAGTGGTATTTCCATAATCTAGGCTCTGTGCCCTTAGCAGTATAAGTGAAGTTATACATAATAATGATGTCTGTTGCAATCATAAACAAACAAACACACGCACACACACGCACACACACATACAGGGGTGGGTTCCGGCAGAGACTACTGACGGTTTTCTTAGGGATGGGATACGCGCACATGCGCAGTGCAATAAAAATTGCTCTGCGCATGCGCAGAAACAAAAAACAAGATGGTGACACTTATGGCACCATCGGGAAAACCTGTTCAGGGGCGTGACTGGCCTGGGTCACTGCCGGTTCCAGCGACCCAAGCTGCCAAGCTACTACTGGTTTGGCTGAGCTGGTCCGAACCGGTAGGAACCCACCACTGCATATATACATACATACATACATACGCATAAATAAAGGACTATTTTATTCTATTCCCCAAATTCATTCATTCATTCATTTCATTCATNCCTAGGAGGTGCATGTTGGATGGAATGGCTCCGTCTACAATAGACTGTTCCTTCTGATGGCACAATTTAAGTACTAATAAATAATCCTCCTTTTTTTTCTTGTTCCAGGTGCATTTTCACTTTCTGTTAGAGACATCATCTCTCAAGGGGATATTGTTAAGCATTACAAAATCTCCACTATGGACCAAGGTGGATACTATATCTGCCCCAGGACTACATTTTCTTCTTTGCAGGAGCTTGTCAAGCATTATTCCAGTAAGAATACTTCTGAAACCTTTCAGATTCATATTTAATAAGATGTAAAGCAGAGTATGTCCCATAGAAACAGAACAGTTTAGCTTAAGTTCTATGGGTTCTTAAGCAACACAAGTGTTTGCAACACATCAGTTCAGATTGTCTAAAGTCATTGAAGATCCAGGAGTTGACATGGCCAATGTAAGCATGTGGGGGGGAAAAGTCTCGATGTTATTATTTTTTAAATTGATTTTGATTAGATATTTAAAAGTACAACCAAGTAAATAAAGCAGAAAAAAGATAAATGGATCATTAAATTAGATAAATTAAATAAAATTCAGTTTAAAATGCTGCCCTAATTAAGTCATCACTATAATATGAACTATAACTAAGAACAGGAAATTGCAGTAATTTCTGCCTAATTTCAGAAATTTATCCTTGATTAGTAAATCAAACCCAGACTTAAATGTTAACTTCTTATTTTAAGAGAAACCCAAAGTTTATATGCAGTAATAGCTCTAGTATACAATTATCGTTCAAGAATAGTTTTCATCTTGTACTGAATTCTGCATTAGATTTGTTTTACAGATACCAGATTATTTTTTACTTTGCCCTGTACTCCCAAAATTTACTTAACTATTCCCCCTTCCACTTCTCTCTAAGGTGGAGGAAATGGAAATCCATCAGTGCTGCCTCAAACTTATTGTTTGTTAATTTCAAAGACTGCAGTGAGGACAAAACTGAGAGGTCTACCAGTTTGCATTAATATTTTTCACATACACATCCTACCTGCATGAATAAGGTCACCATAGAATAGCAGATTTGAATAATTCCTATTCTCTTGATATATAGCCCGAAGCAAGTGATCTCTCATGAGGACGATGATGATGATGATGATTCCATGCATTTCATGCATTTCCTCCCATTGCATTAGTGTTTGGGTATCAGGGTTTTACTATTAATGTTATGAAAGAATCAAAAACTTTAGAGTGCAAGGCGATGAAGCAAAATATGAAAATCTCTGCTTATCTCAATTCTTTCCCTACCTTCAGGAAAGGGATCTGAAATTTCTCTTCTTCCTTAATTTGGGGACAGAGATTATTTTTTTCCAACCTGAAAACTATAGCGAACTGTCCAACTGATTTTTGTTATCTCATTCTCTGAAAATTTACCTTTGGTTTGTCCTACTTCCTCTTTGTGTCATCCTGCACAGCTAAAGATAATGGTCTGTGTCAGAGGCTAAGATATCCATGCAAGTCTCTGACTCCACAAGTACCCTGGGCTGCTGATGAATGGGAAATCCCACGAGACACTATAAAGCTCATCAAGAAACTGGGAGCAGGCCAGTTTGGTGACGTGTGGATGGGTAAGTTAAGACTGATACTCTAACCTCCATGACTTTATGAAATCCTTTATTTACTCATTGGTGTTTTGTTCCTACTCCTTTTACTTCTACCCTTTCTCAAAAACATCTAATTAAAAGAGAAAGAAAAATGTTTGGTTACTGTCCACTCCATATATGAGCTCTTGCTTTCAGTTGAAGGCTATGGCAATGTGAAGAGGAAGTAATGTACTATATGGAAATCTTAGATTTCCATTTGGTTTCAACTTTATAAAGTGCTTACAAAAACAGCAAAATTATGATATTTAAATGCAATCCATTTGAGAACACTAAAATGATGCTACCAGATCAGGCCTTCCAGATTTTCCCCCAACACTGAGACAAGCTGAGACTGGAGCTTGAAGACAGTGGTGTAGTAAAGAAAATTAGTTCTATTTTTGCTTGAATTGCTTTTTGATTGTATTGTTTTTTTTTATGTTGCTTTGTTTCATACAACTGTTCCGAGTTGTATGTTCCAGCCAAAGTTGTGTTTCTTAAATAAACCATCCTGAATTTCTTGATATAAATCTAACAAGCAAATAAAATAAGGGTCTTGTTTCAATCCTTGGTATTTTTAGTTAAAGAAAAAAGAAACAGGCAACAGTTGGCGGGAAAAATCCTGATCAGCCACAGCCAGTCATAATAGATATGTTAAAATAATATATCTAAAATATAATATAATAAACAGTCTGGCCTGATAAATGGTCACAACCTCAGTCCCAAAATCTTGCTGTAACAGTACTTTTTTTTTTTAAAGTTCTTAATGAGGAAAATTTGGTCTCCCCTTGTTTGGGGGAGTTTATGATTCCATGGTTTAAAAAGACCTCTCTCTTCTCCAGTTTTTCTTTCGTTTCCTATGAAAGCTTGATGGAAACTTTGACATTCTTATTCAGTAGTTTGCTCCCAAGAGGTGGCTTGGACAGACTTGGAATATTCTGGGAGTTGCTGATTTTAGGTTTGAGAGCCAACATTTGCCCATAAACCTAGTTATGCTTTACCTGATAGTCATTAATTTCTGCACACCCCTTTCGCAGGCTACTACAAGAACAATGTGAAGGTTGCAGTCAAGACATTAAAAGAAGGCAGCATGGCCCCGGATGCCTTTTTGGCTGAGGCCAACTTGATGAAGAGACTTCAGCATAACAAGTTGGTTCGATTGCATGCTGTGGTGACCCAGCAGCCAATTTATATTGTAACAGAATACATGGCCAATGGTAAGTAAATCTTGTTAATCATTCTAATGGACTTCTATCAGTGCTATAGATATGAACTAAGCAGGCCAAATCTGATTATAGTGGCAGTTTTTTCCCCCAAGCATTTGTGATTTGCTTAATGAGCCTCAAATATTTGGAGCAGTCTATTTTCCCTGTCAGCACAGGTTCAAGCAACTATCGAAGTAAGTCTGTATGCTATTGTTGCAAAGTGGAAGGGCACCTATAAAGCCCTTCATGGTAGTGGATCTGGGTACTTGAGAGACCGCCTACTGCCAATCACCTCCACACGACCCATTAGATCTCATCGTTTAG